TTCAGCTTACACTTCCAGATCATAGTTCATCACTGGAGGACAGGAACTCAGGCAGGAGTAGAACTTGGAGGCAGGAGCTAATGCAGAGGCCATAGAGGGGTGCTGCTTACTGGCTTGCTCCACATGGCTTGCTCAGTCTGCTATAGAACACAGGACCACCAGCCCAGGGATGGCATCACTCACAATAGGCTGGGCCCTCCCTCATTGATCACTAATTGAGAAAATGCCCTATAGCTGGATCTCTTGGAGGCATTTTCTCAAGTTGGTCTCCTTTCTCTCTGCTGACTCTAACTTGTGTCAAGCTGACACACAAAATCATCCAGTACAGCATACTTGGAAGTAATTATTTAAAGAATCCAAATGTCAACAATAGCTGTAAAGTGTATTGTTTCCTCCCAGTTGGACATGATCTTTGCCACTCTGAAGCAGGGCCACTGTAATGGCCCACAGAAACCCTCAGGCAAGCAGGACTATTGACATTTTCTCAGAGAGAGAGGGACGGTCACAAAGCCTGTGACATAAGACCCTTGAGGTCTATTCATGTGATCATTACCTGGCCCCTCTTCTCCCCAGCTTTCCAGCTGCTACTACATGTGAAGAAACAAGAGGACTGTGCTGGGGGTTTTCAGTACCACAGGCACCCACAAATTACCTGTATTCCCATAAAAAAACCCCAAACATCTACTTATTTGCCAAGTTGAATTTGATAGAATCTCACTTTGTGCCATTAACTCCTTCTCTGTCTGGGACATATAGATCCTGGCTGTCATTGTCACTGTCATTGTTGTGTGTATTTGTGTGTGTGTGTGTAGTTTCTGAGGTTTGATTCACGAATGACACAGGCAGGTGGAGATAAAACAGTGGCAACCCTCACAGAACACATCCCACTTACGTCTCTTCTGTCATCTCCAGCCTGGTTAGTGTTCCTCTAGAGTCTAATATACAGAGCACATAGTAGGTTCTCAGTTCCACATAGAGTATACACAGTAGGTTCTCAGTTCCACATGCATTGCCTGAATCAATCTCTCCAGGCTTTAGATACTCACTACTTCAATGAAGTTATAGAAGGGTGTGCATGTCCGTGAGTAACTGAACGACAGCCAGCATGGTGTGGTGGTGGTGCTGGTGGTGCTGGTGGTGGTGCTGGTGGTGCTGGTGCTGGTGCTGGTGGTGCTGGTGCTGGTAGTTATGGTGTTGTTGTTGGTGATTATGGTGGTGGTGGTAGTTATGGTGATAGTGGTAGTTATGGTGGTGGTGGTAGTTATGATGGTGGTGGTGGTTATAGTGGTGGTGGTGGTTATGGTGGTGGTGGTGGTAGTTATGGTGTTGTTGGTGGTGATTATGGTGGTGGTGGTAGTTATGGTGATGGTGGTAGTTATGGTGGTGGTGGTAGTTATGATGGTGGTGGTGGTGGTAGTTATGGTGGTGGTGGTTATGGTGGTGCTGGTGGTTATAGTGGTGGTGGTGGTTATAGTGGTGGTGGTGGTGGTTATGGTGGTGGTGGTAGTTATGGTGGTGGTGGTTATGGTGGTGGTTATGGTGGTAGTGGTGGCAGCAGCTAAAGGAGATCCTTAGGCAGCTCCTGCTTGTACCTCCTTGGAATCAGGAGGTACCTCTGTCTGCACTCACACAAATTGTGTCTCTCCTGGAGACGCACACACAGACACACACAACAATAGCAATGATGATGACAACCAAGATCTATTTATCCCAGACAGGGAAGGAGCCAATGGCCCAAAGTGAGCTCAGTCGCACCACTGATGTCCCTTCTGCCTTCTGTTTCACTGTCATAGTCACCACAGTGGCCGCCATGACACTCTTGTTGGCCACCCCAGGCAGGGGCTGTGCATAGGGACCCTCAGGACTTCTTTGAGAATGAACAAGAAGGGTTCCAGAGCCCCAGAGCCCCTTCCTAGTCCCCTACAGTCTGCTGCTATGAAGTGTGTGTGTGTGTGTGTCTGTGTGTGTGTATGTGTGTCCCTTTACCTTTCTTTCTTCTTAAAAATTAATTCTTTGAGATTTTTATACAATGTGTTGATAGTATTCACCCCTAACTCCTCCCTGACCTACCTTCCCATCCCTACCCGGAAACTTAAAGTCATGTTGTTTTTATAACAACTCCGTTTTGTAACAATTGACTGCCTATGTACTCCTGGGGGTGGGGCCATTCACTGGAGCACAGACGACCTATCGGGACCCACACCCTTGAAGAAACCTGAATATCTCTGGACGGGCCCCAGAAACTCAGTTACCCGTAGCTCTTATTTAAGAGTTTGTGCTTACGATCCCCTTCCCACCCCAAACTAGAATGTTGACAGACTTGATCCTGTGCAGAAACTGCAGCTGCCCGGAGTTCCTGTCATACCCAGAAGGCACTGCTTTTCTTTGGTTCTCTCCGACCTCTCACTGTTAAAATCTTTCTGCTCCCTTCTTCCTTGATGGTCTGTGGGCCTTGGGGAGATGGTATATGTGGTTTTCTGGCTAAGCACTTTGTTGACACATATCTCTTGTGCAGCATGTTCACTGACACCTGGAAATCTGCCGCTGTGTACCCCCACGTCTTCTCCAGCATGCACTGCTTTGCTGGGGCTCCATTTTGGCGGGCCCCAGTAAGAAGTCTAGCTCTCCTACCAGAGTTCTTGCTCTGCCTGGTGATGCACCTGCTTGCTTTGACTCATCCTAGGGAATCTCAGTTGGAGTGCGGTGTATTTTCCTTTTGGAGTTGGAGATAAGAAGCAAGCACAGGGGTTCTAAAAATTCCCAACTAGCCCCTAATATGAAGGTGGGTCTTTTCCTCCCATCTGCTCATCACTGCTTTGGCCACTGTTTGCTCTGAACATGAGGATGATGTCCAATCTTGGGTTCCCCCCCGATGGGAGCCCTGGCTCCATTGCAAACACCCCTTTCCCTCATACCATTCTGCAGTGCCTGCCACACACATCAGAAATCTCTGTCTTGGCCTTCAGCTGTTATGTCGGCCACATGATGTAGCAGGTAGGGAAAAGAGACACACTTGAACTTGAGGACCATCTCTGACTTACTAGCTGAGTGATCTGGGGCAATGTCTCTAAACCTCTGTTTCCACAACTGTAAGTAAGCAGTAATGCATGGAATTAAATTAGCTTTCCCTTGTCAAGTGTGGCACAGGTCTGCAATCCTAGCATGTGTCGAGGTGCAGTAGGAAGATCTCAAGTTCCTGCTCTATCTTCAGCTACACAGAAAGGGAGATCATGTCTTTAAATAATTAAAGTCTGATGTATAGCACTTGGTATAATCCTCATACATACGGAGGGAGATACACACACTGACTCTTCCTTTCATACTACCATCACAACAGCAACAGGTCTTACTGTTACCATCATCGTGCCTGCTACTATACGCCATTGATCAGCCCTTGCTAGTCTAGGCCAGCCCCTATGGTGAGCATTGCTACTCATGAGTCCAGTCTTCCGGACATCCCTAAAACACCATCAAAATCAGCCCCTCCTCCTCAGTGCATCTTGGCTCACTGTTCACAGAGCTTGTCAGTTACTCCAGGACCTCAGCCTGGACTCAGTTCTTGGAATAGACTCTGCTTTCTAGTCCAGGGACATATAATGGTCATTCTGGGTCAAGGACCTTACAAAGTTTATTAACATTTCCATATCAGAAAGGAAGCAAAGTTAGACTCTGCTACCTTTTCAATCTGGCCTAGAAAACCACAGTCAAAGCCACCACTTCTGTTGTGTCCCCTGTGTCTTGGGGCCAGGCTCTGCGAGGGACAGTAAGATGCAGCGCCTCTGAGAGGGAAGACTCACTGCTTCAGGGCTGATGTGAAAACCACTCCTGGGGTGGTCCTCTGAGGTTGCTCTGTCTCTCTGCTCCTCTCTTCCAGGCTTGCCTTTTCCTCCCCATAACCCTCTCCCCAGGGGATGGATTCTTCTGCCCTTTGCCTGATCAGAGCTTTGTCAAACCTTCCCAGTGTGCTCATGGGCAGTGTATAGTACCCTGGACTGGGATGGCTGCCAGATACTTGGTTCTGAGATTCTTCAGAAAGATCCCATCCCACCAGGTCTCCTGACATCCCATAGGCTGATATCTTCTATACTAAAACCAAGCAGTTTCTGGAAGAGATCAGGGAATTGGCAGAATGGTGCCCGGGAGCCCAGGAGTGAGACCTAGGAATCCTTACCTTTGACTAACTTTAGTCAGGATGTGCTCTAACCCAGCTAGAGGTTGGCTACTGTCCAGTCCTACCTGAGCTCTCAGGACAGACAGACACCCTCATCCAGGAGAGAAAATTCCAGAGGGCAAAATGGCAGCTGCTTGAGAAGCTTCTCACTGTTGAGAGAACATCTTTGAAGTAACATAAGCTAGATACTCCCTGCCAAACACAGAAAGCCCACACAGTGCTCACGTGGGGTCAAATTGACATTGGCTCTCATGCCTATCCTGTCTTGGGGCCTGTTTATTGCTGGACAGCTGTGGTCCTTAGCATAACCCAAATGGCGAATCCATGGACCTTCTTTTTGACCAAGCTAGATCTGTGAAGACAGAGTCATCTTCCTTCTTAGTATCCCATTCCTCAAGAAGGTTAAATGACAGGAAATGAACTTAAAGGGGAATCCTGAGTGTTCGGAGGACCCCTCCAGGGATGAGGCAGGCATTTACCCAGTGCCTTGTTGGTAGATAAGCAGGAAGGAAGCATCACTGGAAAAATAAAGCTAAGAGATCGCTGAAGGGGATAACTCTGCAGGTCCCTAATTAGGGACCAGATAAAGTCCAAATTAGACCACTGTAGCGTGCAAGGGCAGCATATTCCACTCTCTATCAAAAGGACTCTGTTGCTCAAAGGCCTGGAGATCTATGCTCTGCAAATTGCCCTAGCCCTTCAGAAGGGGAAGGAGAAAGTGGAGAGACGCCCTTTTCCGGTGCTATGGGCTCAGTGGGGATAAAAGGAAGCAGCTCTCTTGTGCCCCATTATTGTCTTTCTCCAGCTCCAGCACACGAACTGCTCTACCATGAGTCGGCAACTGAACGTCAGGTCGTCCAATGACAAGGGTGACTTCAGTGTGCTTTCTGCAGTGGTGCCAAGGAAACCCATGGGCAGTGTGGCTTCTTGCCACGCAGCTGGCCACAGGACTGGGGCTAGAGGCAGCAGCAGGAGCCTTTACAGTCTTGGAGGGAATCGGCATACTTCCTTCAATGTGGCAGGTGGCAGTGCTCAGGGCTCAGGGCATAGCTTTGTACATGGGTATGGAGGGGGTCGAGCCAGTGGCTTTGCCAACAGCATGTTTGGCAGTGTGGCCCCGGGGTCCACTTGTCCATTGGTGTGTCTGCCTGGGGGCATTCACCATGTCACAGTCAATAAGAGCCTCCTGGCTCCTCTGAATGTGGAGGTGGATCCTGAGATCCAGAAGGTGCGTGCACAGGAGCGGGAGCAGATCAAGACTCTGAACGACAAGTTCGCCTCTTTCATCGACAAGGTGAGTATTACAGGAAGACGTGGTGTCATATCAGGAGCAGTTCTCCTGTTTCCTGTGCAATATGGATAGATGGATGGATAGATGGAAGGATGGAAGGATGGATGAAAGGATGGAAGGAAGGATGGATGGATGGATAGATGGGTGGATAATGGATGGATAGATGGATGAATGACAGATACATGTGGATGGATTGATGGGACAGGGCCTGGGTGGGGTCCCTCTACACAAGGAGAAGAGAACAGTTTACAAGCTGCTCGGAAATTGGGGAGGGCAAATGAAGGTTGTCTTCTTGGAGAATTTTAGAGAAAAGTTGGGGAAACTGGATAGAGGTAGCTTTTTTCTTTTTTTTTTTAGGGAAGTGTTGAGTTCCTGAAGGTCCAATAGTGGAAGGTGTCTTCAAGTTTTTTTTTTTTTAAAAAAGAATGTGAACAGCTGAGAGAATTGAGCACAATCCAGAGGGCAGAGTTCACAGTACAAAAGGTACAGTTAGATGCAAGGGAGAATGTCTCCTGGGTTCAGTCAGGCAACAGAAGAAATTAGGATGCTGCATCCAATTAGTGTGCAGTGACTGCTAATTCAGAAGACCAGGAAGGAGAACTTGTTACTGATCCCTGGGGAAAGAGCACTTGTTAATGATATCTGAGGGTGGACAGTCAGAGCTCAACCCATAGGATTTTTACAAAACCTCTCTTCTCTTGGGAAGTCAATGGTGTATGTCTGTGGGGCACGATATCTGTGTGGTTCAGGTGGCTGTGGGTTTGGGTTCCAGGTGCGCTTCCTGGAGCAGCAGAACCAGGTGCTGCAGACCAAGTGGGAGCTGCTCCAGAAGCTGGACCTGAGCAACTGCAGGAGGAGCCTGGAGCCTGTTTATGAGGCCCACATCAGCAGCCTTCGCAAACAGCTAGAGATGCTGGCTGGCGAAAGGGTGCGGCTGGACTCAGACCTGAGGAACATGAGGGATGTGGCAGAGGACTACAAGAAAAGGTGAGCAGGCCACTAAAAGTTCCTGGGTCATAGACCAAAGCTCCAGGGTCAGGAGGTCAGGTAATGCGGTCTCTGGCTATGGGGGAGGTACCTACCCTGTGATAGGTAGGAGTTCCTGGGCTCACAGGCCCTTTGGATACTTAGTTGCTGGTTAGGGATTCTATGTAGGCATTTGAGTATTTTCCTGGGATATAATGAGGGAATCTAAGACTTCTTACTTACAGCTGGCATATCAGTTACTTTTCTGGTTACTGTTACCAATGCCTGACAGGAAACAATGTAAGGAAGGAGAAGTTTACTTTGGCTCATGGTTTGAGGAGATACAGTCCTTCTTATCAGGGAAGGCACAGCAGCTGGTAGCTCCACAGTGATGGCAACCTTGTGGCAGTGGCTTGTTTCATGCTGCCAAGCAAAGGGCAGAGAGCTGAGGCTAGAAATAGGGTCAAGCTTTTAACTCCACAGCCCTACCCCTCCAGCTATATGGCTGTCAGTCATATATTGGCCATGATTAGAAGCTTCCACAACCTTCAAAACAGTACCACGTGCTGGGGACCAAGTGCTCAAACATATGAGTCTGTGGGGGTACATGTAACACTCAAATCATGGTAGCCAGAGATCCCAGCAGCCACAGGGCTTGCCCCATTAGTAGAAAAAGGAAGTTACCTGACAGACAAAACCGCTGCCATCTCTCTCTTCTACCACAGATATGAGGTTGAGATTACCCAAAGTACAGTGGCTGAGAACGAGTTTGTGCTGCTTAAGAAGGTGAGATCAGAGACCACCCATGGGTTCTGGTCCCTCCTGTGCCTGTATCCTAAGCAACTCCATTCAGGACTTCATCTATGACACCTGGAGAGGGCATAGGGGCTGAATTTGGTTGGGACCAGAGTTATAGCTTCCAGCAAGTTAGAGAGGAAGGGCGTGCAGCCAGAAATTGGATAGGAAGAAACAGGAGAGAATCCCTGTGGGGACACTGGGAGGATGTGGCTCAGCTTAGTCTTCCTGTGTGGCTTGAGGAAAGGCAAGCACCTCTGTAGGCGAAACTAAGGAAGACTGGCTTCGTGTTCCCTTCCTCTGTTCCCAAAAGTTCAGTTAGTGAAAAACTGATGTCAAGTGACTGGACAGATGCAAGTCAGATGGCTGCAGGACAGAGCAGCAGCAGAGGCAGGGTGATTGGTGGGATGGGGGATGGATGTATTAATGATGTCATGGGACCTCTTGGCAGGAGGCAGATGCAGCCTACATGGTCAAGGTGGAACTTCAAGCCAAAGTGGACTCTCTGGAAAAAGACATCAAATTTCTCAAGTGTCTGTACGATGTGGTGAGGACACACCTCTCTCCCTCTGTTCTGCCTCAATCCAGCTGATACTTTCCCAAAGAGACATCAGTGGGTGGGACTTAAGACCACATTAGATAAAGGTGCTTGCACAGATAAGTGTGATCAACTCTGTCAGAGACCACAGGAGCCTGATGGAGAAGAGGAGAGGATCTGAGAATGCTGATCCTGTTTCCGTCCACAATCTAGGAGATTGCCCAGCTCCAGACTCATGTCAGTGAGACCTCTGTCATCCTGTCCATGGACAACAATCGAGATCTGGACCTCGATGGTATCATTGCTGAAGTCCGTGCTCACTATGAGGAGACTGCCCTAAAGAGCAAGGCCGAAGCTAAGGCGTTGTACCAGACCAAGGTGAAGCTGGTGGGGGAGGGGGAAACCTCTTTCCTTCTTGGGAAAGGTCATAGAAATACTGAGTGAGAGCTGGTTACAGCCCAGGACCAGTGGCAATCTGTCCAGAAGGTGTTCTCAGCAGTGCCATCAAATGAGTATGGATGGGTAAATCCAATGGAGAGGGACAGTGAGTCCTTCAGGAAGCATAGACTGAAGTGTTCCCCTTCTAATGCAGATGCATTTACAGGGATGGGGGTACATGACACAGGGATGGCAGATACAAGCTGGAGCCAGGTGGGGAGAGAAGAGAAAGCCCTGAGCTCCCTTCTGCTATGCATGAGTGTGTCGGTAGTCCTCCAACAGCAAGTTGGAATTCTAAAAGCATTCCGAGTGATAGGTTAGGTGGTGAGCTAAGACACTTCAGACGCTCCTCCTTTAAACCCCCATCTTCAGTCATGAAAGCCCAGATGTATCAACTTTCTATTTCTGAAACAAAATAGTGAGGAAAACCAGCTGATGAGCAGAGGAGGTTTAAATCAGCTGGTGAGCAGGGAGGTTTGTTTGATCCTTGGTTGTAGAGGTTTCCATTTGGAGATTCTTGGTCTTGGGGAAGAGCAGTACACTGTGATGAGAACTCGTGTCAGAGAGGGCAGCTCACTTCTCAGCATCCAGGGAGCAGAGAAGAAAGGAGAGAGTGGTAGGGTGCCTCAGGTCCCTCAGGAGGTCAAGATCTCCTTTGAGGGTTTGTCCTCAGTGACCTAAACTTTTTACTAGGACTTACCATCTAATAGTGGCAAGCTGTAACCCAAGCTAGTAACATATGGGCCTTTGGGGGACAGTCCAAATTTAAACTATAGTACCATCAAGAAAGGATGGTGAGTGTAGTTCAATGTCAAACCCCCTCCTGTCCCTCGTTCTGTGTCCACGAGCATGATACTTTTTCCACCCTGAAGTGTTGGACACAGTACCTCACCCAAGTCCTACCTGTAACCTCTTCTAAAGACACACCTGTCCCCGGACTTCCTTCTTCTCTGACCTGTGCTGGGAAAGTGTTGAGAGAGAGTGTGAGCCTCAGAAGAGCTGGGCTGCCCCACTCACCGCTGCATCCGATGCCAGTGCCAGAGCCAAGTGGGGCCTCTAGAAGACACTTCTCTGAATACTGGATGATGAACAAAGAGGGGGTCAGAATTCTCACATTGGAGAGTGCTTATGAGTGGGAACTACATCCTGTTTACCCTGGGAAAGTCTCAGGACAGGAAGCAACCCTGGAGGGAGGGCCATACGCAGGTTCCGCCTATGATGGGGTCAGGGGGTTTTCTTGATCAGAGCTGGAAGGGCACCTGGGTTCTGGCTTCACCACCTTCACTTGAGATTCACCTCAAGGTCCCTGGGATAGGTGTGCTCCCCCCGAGCCACTCAGTGTCTTGTCTTATCACCATCTTCCTGCCTCTGGGACACTAGATCCAGGAGCTGCAGCTGGCAGTTGGCTGCCATGGGGACAGCCTAAATCATACCAGGAATGAGATGTTGGAGCTGAACCGGCTTATCCAGAGGATCCGCTGTGACATCGCGCACGAGAAGAAGCAGGTGGGCAGGAAACCAGAGAACAAACGGCAAAGTTCCACATGTGTGGTGGAAACTCCACTTTTCCAGGGAGAAGTGTCTATAACAACAACCCATTGTTAACTGTGTTGATGTGGTTCCTCAGAGGGTCTCTGAGAGGAACACACACACACACACACACACACACACACTAACACAACATTTAAGAAATGCTGTCTTCAGGTGAGACTAGTATAAATAAGAGACCTATGCCATGGAGGGAGAACCAGGTCTCCCTCGGGGGCGTGGGAGTCCCAGGGACAACCACAGGCCTCTTTCTCACCCTGTATGAGAATGGAGAAGACACCATCTATTTCTGGCTTACCCATGGTGCCCATTAGGTAGCCGGGCAGGAAAGAGGCAGAGACTTGCCCTTACCCCATCCTCCAGCTCTTCATTATCAGGGTAGGATTAGAGTAGTGGTGTTCCAGGTATCCTTGCGCTCAGTTATTTCTGTGTCCAACATACCTGTCCTGTGACTTTTGTGTGTGTCCCTCTGAGACCAGGCCTTCTCCCAGGTGTCTGGATGCATGGGGCAAGACAGGGCCTTCTATGGCCACCTTGCATTCTTTTCCTCATTCTGGGGCAGGGCCCTGGTGGAAGAGTGTAGCAGCGGATGAAGTTTCTGGATTCTCCCATCTATGCCATAGGACTCTTATTTGTACTAGTCTCACCTGAAGATAGCAATTCTTAAATGTTGTGTGTGTGTGTGTGTGTGTGTGTGTGTGTGTGTGTGCATGTGTGTGGGTGTTCCTCTCAGGGACTCTCTGAGGAACCACATCAGCACAGTTAACAATGGGTTGTTATAGACACTTCTCCCTGTATCCCCAGGACCTCATGTGTTATGGAGGACCGGGTCACAGGTACGCCTGTAAGACTCTATGGTGGGCTGGTTTACAGACTCCATCAGAAACACCCTCCCGTTTAGCCCTTGAAATTATAGCAGCCTTGGGGACTTCCTCAGAGTCCATCATCCAGGGCTGTAAGTTAGGCTATTTTAAGGGAAGGTTGCCTTGCCTATCAGGTCATGCATGGGAGCAGGCAGGGAGTCTAGAGAGTCTACAGAGAGCAGGAGGGCTCCAGCCACACTGTCTTGGTGCAACAGACACAAAGGTTCCCTGCAGCAGAAACCTGCAAGGTACAGGACGGAGCTACAGAGCCAGGGCCAGACCTGGGTCTGCATTCATTGCAGATGAATGTTTAAGGTTGTGGCCTGGGTGATGTCTGAGAAGGTAAAAGCTATACTGCTTGAGGACCTGTAGCCATGTCCCTAGAATATACATAAAAAACTAGTTTGGTTACATACCTACATGCAACCCTAGCACTGTGGTGGGGAAATGGAGCCTGCTGGCATCCAGCTTAGTTATAAGTTCAGTGAGATAATACAGAGGCTGACAGATCAGGCTCCAAGTGTCTCCTCTGGCCTCTGTATACATACGGGTATGGACACCTGTACACGTGTGTGCATACACCACACATACACCACACTCACACATATACATGCACACATATTTTTCAAAAGTAAGGAAAGTGGGACCCTTGGGCTGCTGTGTTACTCTACCACTGTCTTAATCAAATACCTGACAGAAGTAACTGAAAGGGGCAAAGGACTTACTTTGGCCATGAGAGTCCATCATGGCAGACTGCCTAGTTGCATCTATAGTTAGGAAACAGAGGACGATGAATTTTGAGCTCAGTTAGCTTTCTTCTTCCAGAGGTGGTCCAGGACCTAAGTCTAGGTTACTGCCTACGTTTAGGATGGGTCTTCCCACTTGAACCAACCTAATCAAGACAATTCATAATAGGGACAACCAGAGCCTTGCCTCCTAGACAATTCTATCAAGTTAATAATATTAACAATCACGACTGGCATGATCTAGGTTATATTTTATATCTTAACAGTCTGTTTTTTTTTTTATTCCCCCAGTGTTCCAATCTGGAGAAGGCCATCGCTGACGCTGAGCAGAGAGGGGACTGTGCCCTCAAGGATGCCCAGGCCAAGCTGAATGAGCTGGAGGGAGCCCTTCAGCAGGCCAAGGAGGAGCTGGCCCAGATGATCCGTGAATACCAGGAGCTCATGGGCCTGAAGCTGTCACTGGATGTGGAGATTGCCACCTACCGCAAGCTGCTGGAGGGCGAGGAGTGCAGGTGGGACCTGGAGGGCCACACCATGGTGCCAAGGGAGAAACACCTATGGCTTCTCAGGCCAAGGGAACATTCGGGAGCAGGAAACTGAGCAAACATTGTGAGAGAGGGTGGCTGTGGTTTGGCTGCCGGGTGATGACCGTGGCCAGCCATATGCACAGGTGACTCCGTGGTGATACAAATGGAGCTGTGAGGACAGACAGATTGATGTATGCTAGCAGTATGGTCCCAGTAGATCATGCCATCTATAGGATGGGAGATTTGAATCTTCATGTGTTGGTCAAAGAAAGAAACAGGGTCTTTCTCTATAGTCCAGACTGGCCTCAAACTCCTCCGGTCTCAGCCGCCTGAGTGATCTTATCCTTTAACCTTCTGTATTGCAGGATGTCTGGTGAGAACCCATCCTCCGTGAGTGTCTGTGAGTATCCTAGAGATGGGTTGGGCTGAGGAAGCCAGGGGCCCTGGGATATAGAGATGTGGGAAGCCAGGGACCCTGGGATGCAGTGATGCTTAAGGCCAGAGGCCCTGGTATACAGAGATGCTTGAGGCCAAGGTCCCTGGGATACAGAGATTCACTGCCAACCATAGTTTTACTTCACCTATGGGTTTTTGTTGGCCTGAGAAAGTTCTCTGCACCAGAGCAACATTTCCCACACTTGTCCCCAGGAAAAAGTGATTAAAATTCACACCCATCTCTTTTTGTTGTCCTATCCTGGGGTACCCTTGTCTAGAGAACAGCTTGGGAATGGTTGCTTTCCCAGGATACCGAAGATGTCAGGCAGCATGACTATTCTGTGTGGTCCCCATACAGTTTAGCACATAGCAAGCCCTCATTCACTGCATTGGCAATTTGTATTGACTTCTGAGGATGATCACAGTATTAGGCAGGTCCTCCTCAGAGATGGTAGTTGCCATGGCTGTCACTTGCTGACAAACATCTGCTTTTGTCTCTTTGTCTGCACAGCTGTCATCAGCAGCAGTTATGGCTCCTACGGCTATCATCCAAGCTCCATGATCTCTGACTCTGAGGCTGGCAATGCAGTTGGCACCCCTCGAAACAGCCAGGCCAAGACCAGAGGATCAAGAGCAGACCTCAGGGACACCCGGGACAAGAGAACTGTTGCTGGTTGTACCCTGGCCAGGAATACCACTTGAGAACTCCACTCCCCTCAGTGTCTGGAGAAGGAATGCCTTTGCTACTGTTCAGAGATGACTGTGTCACTTGAAACCACCATCCCTGAGTTTAAGGACTGTTTCTAGTACATTTGACTACCCACTCTCTCCTTTAAGTTCTGATCGACACGGTCAGTCTTCCTGTGTTGGTGGGTCCCATGCAGGCTTCTGACTTTTTGTACCTTCAGCCGGCAGGAGGGTTTAGAAACTCAAGCCACCATTGACTTCTTGAGCTAAGGAGGCCATGATAAGGAGACTCTTCCAGAGAGGGAAAAGGAAGGTGGTGGAGAGAAAAGGGTGACATTGAGGTCGTGTTCTCAATTGTCTAGGTTTTCTGACCTTTTTAGAAGGGGTGGAATTTTCAGCATCCTTTTTCTGTCCTATTAGTGAGACCATTGTAGATTGTTGAGGAGAAAGCATACATGTTTGCAGGTCTCCTGATGAGGCCCTATTCACAGAGCTATGTGGAAGAGAACAGGGCTCCTTACCACCTGTACCACCACCTTTATTAGCAAGAATGGCTACTTCCACCTGCCAAGCACCTATTACGAGGCAGGTTGTCAGGAACCCTGAATGTGTTGCCTCAAATTCTCACCTAATCCTGCAGGGAACGCACAAGCCATGTCTTTGGGACACAGAGGTACACTGTTTCTTAGCATGGATGAGTTAGCCCTTGTCACAGACCTATGAACCAGCTCAGGCCTGGCGGACAGTAGATTTCACGTTTTGCTGGTATGTCACAATCATCACCACAGGGGGGGACGTCCAAGTCACAGTCCTCAATGAGGCAGTAGGCAACAGTGGCTTTTGTAAGGACTGTGGTTGTGTTCAGTTCTTGCTTCTCTCTCTGGGGCTCTGACCCTCAGGACCTTCTGACTCTAGAGTTGCCACCGAGGGTTGAATCCAGCAGGTGCACTTAGCTTTGTTTCTGCGTGGTCCTACCCCGTAAGTCATGACTTACTGTGTGAATATTCTTAAGAATGTCACCGTCTTGTCCCTCCCTTGGGTGACCTAAGGGGTCTAAATGTCTGCTGTATGTGCAATAAACTGCCTTTGAACAATGTCAGAAGTGTACATCCATCAGTCCGTTAACCTTCTGAATGTTCCACTGAGGTCAATGTGACCCTCCTGCACAGCCCTCCTGGGTAACTGGAGGCCAAGCCACAGGAAGCTCAGGAAGTCTCTTCGGGCTGCCGGGAGAGGGAGAACCACAAAGCAATGCACTTGCGTCTCTCACGTCATCTACAAGAGAGAATCAAATGTGTGCAACACACAAATACAACAGCTAAAACTGTAAAGCTCCTAGAAGGAAAAAAAGAAAAAGGTGAATTAGTGTAACTCTGGGACCAGGAGCCGATGAGACAAAATAGAAAAACTACTGGGATTCATGGAAGTTTAAAAAGAATCAAGAGAGGTTCCTTTGCTTTATTATGTTTTGTTTGAGACAAGGTCTCTGTAGCCCAGGCTGGCCTTAACCCAAGCTGGTCTTGAACTCACCAGACTCTTCCTGCCTCAAGTCCTGAGATCATAGGCATGAATCACTATGGTCAGAATTGTCTAAGGCTTTAAGTCAAGTTAAGGGGCTTTTCCTGGGGAGACAGGAACAAATATCTCACTGCAGACAGGGCCCTGATGACAGGCCAAAGAAGCATTCCATCCAGGTCTAACTTAGTGATCGGGAGTTGGGGGGAGGACTTACAGGGGCTATAAACAGGAGTTCAGAAGAGGAGCTACACACAGGAGCATGGCTAACTCAAAGGCAACTGTGTCACCAAAAGCTCATGCCAGCACAGGTGACCCAGGAAAGCCATGTTTCTGGAGCTTCTGCCTAGCTTATAGTTATCCCCTGAGGATATAGTCTCCTTGGTGATGGCTTACTACTGTTGTATAACTGCAGGTAGCCTTGTGACTGTTGGAATTTTCTGTCCTTTCTGGGTCTGATAAGTTTTAAGAGTTCCCTGAGTCTTATGAGTCTCCTTCCTCCCTTCAGGAGGGAGCACTTCATTGGTGCAGAACTCATATTATCGAGAAAATGTGGGGAGCCATGCATATGGGTGTGTGTGCTCTAACCTCTGCATTTCAGGGGCTGATGTGAGTTCAAGGCCACCTTGGGGCACACAGTCAGAAGCTCTCTCAAGGAATAAGACTGTGAGGAGGAGGTGAGAGGTTAAGGGAAAACACAATTTGCAGAAGGAGAAAAATATAAATCATTTCTCTAATAAGGGTCTAGTATTCAGACTATGAAAGGAACTCCACATAACTTCTCAGGACAAGAACAGCCTAGTTAAAAAAGGTGCAAAGGGGCCAGAGAGATGTTTCAGAGTTAAGAGCACTGCCTGCTCTTCCAGGTGACTCAAATTCAATTTCCAGCAGGCACCTCAGGTGGTTTACAACCACCTGTAATTCCAGCTCCAGGGGTATCCAAACACCCCTGGCTTCTTCATGCATCTGCATTCACATGCACAACCCTCCCCACAATTAAAAGCAATTAAAATGAATAGTTTTTTTTAAAAAAAGAAGTGTGCAAAAGACTTTGATAGACTTTCACCTAAAGAAAAAAAATATATATGTATATATCTCCAATGAGCACATGAAAATACGCTCAACATAATTGGACTTTATGACTTTGCATCTTATAAGACAATTTTAATATTAAAAATATTAATAATAAAGAAATAACAGATACTGGTGAGCATGAAGAGAAGCTGAAACTTTTTGTGCTTTTGGTTCTGTTTTGAGATAGGGTCTCACTGTGCAGCCCTGTCTGGCCTGGAACTCACTCTGTAGACCAGGCTGACCTCAAGACCTTAGACATCCACCCGCTTCTGCCTCCCAAGCACTGGGCTTAAGGGTATGTGCCACTAAGCCTGGTACAGAGGTTAGAATCTTTGTATGGTCCTGATGGGAATGGAGAGTTGGCTTAGTGGTTAAGAGCACTTGGGACTCTTGCAGAAGACTCAGGTTTGGTTCCCAATCCCCATATGGTGGTTCACAATCATCTCCCATTGTAAGGGATCCAGTGCCCTCTTCTGACCTCAGTAGGCACCAGGCATACATGTGGTACACATACATACACACAAATACTCATATATATATACATATATATATATATACATATATATATATGTGTATATATATGTATATATATATATACATTATATATATAAGGATTGTCATGGGCTAGTAAGTCCATTCCTAGAGATACAGGCAAAGGAACTGAAATCAGATATTTCAACAGTACGTGTAACATAGAAGCTCAGAGCTGTACTATACAAAACAACTCAAACATCTGTCAGCAAGTGAACAGAAATCTGAGGGACAGTATATACTTATAATGACTAATTTTTTTTATCCATGAGAAGAAATGCTGTGGCACTATCTGTTACAGTATGAGTGAGTCCTGGGGAAAATCATGCTGAATAAAAGAAGGAAGAGAGAGAGAGAGAGAGAGAGAGAGAGAGAGAGAGAGAGAGAGAGAGGGAGGGGGGGAGAGGGAGGGGTAGGGGGAGGGGGAGGGAGAAGGAGAGGGAGAAAGAGAAATGGTTTTCCTCATTGCATGATCCATTCATAGAAAGTGTCCAGATTAGGAAATCCAAATATTCAGAAACAAGTGGAATAGCAGATTGCTGGCAATGAACCCAGAGCTTTCTTTGGGGTGATGGAATGTTTTGAAATTAGGCAGAGCTGGTTGTCTATACCATTGGGAACATAGAAATGTCACTTAACTGTTCACCAAGATGGTTAGTTTAATGGTCTATAAATTTCATTTCAATAAAACTAAAATTATATGTGGGGGTGTTAGACTAAAGAGGCTTGAGAAACTGTGCCTCTAGACTTAAGTTCCCAGTCTTTCCACAATTCATCAAATGACATGGCTAGGGAAACTGTCTGGGGCAAATAGGGCACAGGGACAACATACCCTCTATTCAGCTGGCCTTGAGCAGAGCAAGTTCATCTTTGTTGGCTGAGAGATAACCCAGACACTGGCTTCCGCTGGGTGAGGCAGCTGTAGGTTCTCTTACCTGGTCACCTGATTATTCAACAGGCTATCTATGTCTCAAGCTTGGCATGGAGGACGGCTGGTAGCCCAGTGCCTGTGTTCACCTTGAATAGCGAGCTGAAGCAATGGGAGCTGGCAAACTACAACATTTCTTTCTCAGACAGAACTGTGGCCCCTGCCTTGGAGCGCTTGGACCAGGATGTGTGTGTGTGTGTGCATCTGTGTACCTGTTCATATGTGTGTCTGTGTATTTAACTGGGCTATAATTCAACTTCAGATATCTTTGTCTATTGTTCTTCACTCTGTACCTATCTATCTATCTATCTATCTATCTATCTATCTATCTATCTATCTA